TGACAGCAGAGGCAGGGCACATCCTGATTGGGTTGAGCAGTCTCCAAATGGATCCTGCAGTAGCCACAAGGCCCTGGACAGGGAAGGGTGGATGTAAGTGGCTTTCCTGGTACCCAGAGGCTTTTTTTTTTTTTTTTTTTTTTTCTCTCTCTCTCTTAAAAGTTTTATTGTGAATTATGTGATAGTTTACATGGGAGAACATTAGTTTTACATTCATTCTATCGTATATCGTCTCATTGCCATGGTTACAATCCCTTTCATGCAATCCTTCCCCCATGCCCCCCAGGTCTTCAGTACACCGTTGCTTTCCCTCTCTGACCCAGAGGCATTTTGACACCTGAACTTTCTTCCTTTCTCCACTGAGGTTGCAGTCAAAACCAAGGTGCATTTCTTCTTCAGGAACAGAGGAGGAGTGCCCGGTGCCTGGAGCAGGGACCCAGGGAGCAGAGCCATCCCCTTAGCTCAGGAGTTGGGGCATCTTTTAGCCCTTCTCCGTCTTGTAGTAGGTGTTGCAGATTCTCTACCCTTTCTAGAAAGGGAGCTGATGAAAAAGTGGAGAGAGGGGGATAATGATAAGGGAGGATGAAAAAGGAGGAAGGACAGTGGGAGGTGCCCAGATATAGAGAGATCAGGAATCAAGAAGAGACAAAGGTGGAGAGAGGCTGGACCGAAAGGCGAGAGTGAGCAAGACTGACTGAGGCTGCGAGAAAGCCCGGGAGAAGGAGGGAGGAGGGAGAAAGAAAGGGGAGGGAACCTGGAGAGAGGGAGGAGAGCGGCGGCGGCGGAGCTCTGCTGGCAAGGGGTGAGGCCAGGCGTGCAGGCGGGAGCCTGTGTGCAGAGCCGCGGCCGGGTCCAGCTCCCGCCTCGGAGCCCCGGGCCCGGGGGAGGGGGAAGGACCGCTAGCTCGGTCTATGTCTTTTTCTGACTCCAGTGCAACCTTCCTGCTGAACGAGGTAACCGTGGGGCCCCTCTCCAGTGGGTGGGAGGGGAGCACCACTCCAAGCTAGGAGAGGGAGATTGCAACGATGGTGAAGGAAGGAGGCCTGAGGAGGTGAGGCCGAGGGTGGGAGAGCTGGAGCTGGCAGCATCTAAGCATTGCAACTGGGCTAGGCTGGGGGGACTAACTGGGAAGCCAGAGAAGGGGATAGATTACAAGATGAAGAGGGGCGGGCTCTGCCAAGCTCTTGTGGTGCCTTCCTGAATTCTCTGGGGACAGTCTAGCAGCCAGAATGCTAGCGGCCTCAACCTAGACCTTGGAGACTTCTGGGAAGTTCTTCCCAGAGGTTCTAGCGCCTTCCTCAATTTCCCCATTCAATACTCAGAGATTGAGATCTATCCAGCTTCCTGGTGCATGCAGAGAAGAAGCTAGGGTATATTTTGGGGACCCCTAAGAACTCCCACTCCCAAACCAGACTTTGTCCCTTTTCTCCTGCCTCAATGCCTGGTACCTGCTCGCTCGCCACCAGGCTAACAGCTCTCTTCAGGCAGAGTCAAGCAAGAAGAGTCCATTCCCTAAGGTGCCTTTGGACCTTGAGCTTTTCTTTTTCTCAGCTGTCTCTTCTTAAATTCAACCATGGAAAAGAAAAGGGATTCTGGACCTCATATAGGATAATGCTGACCAGCACACATCCTGCCACAGGACAGGAAGTCACTAGCTTGGCATAAAATGAGCAGGCAGGTGTGGGTGAGGTAAGAAATGGAAAAGGGCATTGGCTAGCAACCCAGAATCTAGGAAGAAGGGAGGAAGGCATTACAGCTCCGGCAGGACCCATGGGATAGGCCCAGGTATGAGCTGCTGGGGTGGTTGTCATGGCAACCCATGTCTCCGGAGCAGACTTAGGCAACCTTGTCCCAGACGGGGATGAATACAAGGTATGTGAGGTAGGAGTGCTTCAGTTCGCAGATCTACTGTCATCTCAGTCTCTAGGACTAACTGGGGGTTGAGAGAGCCCCAAAAGGAGAGGCTAGCGTTGTAGATTTAGGAATGGGATGAGAAACCTTAGCAGCTGTCTTCTTCACCAGATCATCTCCCCAGAGATACCACTTTGAGGGTTTTGTTCCTTCGACACCTCAGCCCTCCTCTGCCCAGCTGGCAGGACAGATGAACCAAAGGCAGAATATCCAAGGATTCCAATCCAGACGAATCCAATAAAACCAACCCCAAAATCGTGCTGGACTCAGAAGGAAATGTGAAAGCAGAATGCCTCCCCCAATAGTGATTAGTTCCCTCAGCCATCAGGGATCCAGCAAAGTCCAGTTTACCAAACCTTCAGGAGGAAGATGCTGGGCTGGACTGGAAAGGGGTAGACAGACTAAAGATAAACTAAAGACAAATTTTAAATGAGGTCCTTCCTCTCTCCTTTCCTTGCTAAAGGAAGAGGAAAAAGTGACAGGTGGGAAAAGGATTCGTTTGGGAGGTTTTTCTGTCTTTTTCTCTCATGCATAGTATTTCATATAATAGAGCTCATCAAACCCTGTCAAAATTTTGATTTTCTGATTTCCCTCTAACCCTCAAACTAGGACAGAGTAGGACTAGGAATTACTTAGAGTAGGTGCCTCATAAATGTGTGTGGTTGTTGTTGTTTAGTGCTGTCAAGTCAGTTCCCAGTCATAGTGACCCTGCATAGGTTTTCTGAGGAGCGGCTGATGAGCTTGAACTGCCGACCTTGAGGTTCAAACTGACATTGCAGTCCAGTGCATTAACCTGCACTGGGAGTAGATAAGTGAGTGAGCAGAGACGAGACGGGTGAGAAATACATGGTGTCCATCTGCAAAGTTATTTGAATTGCAAGGTCGGTGGCTCAAGCTCACCAGCTGCTCCTAGGAAACCCTATACAGGGTCGCTATGGGTTTGAACTGACTAGATGGCACTTAACAACAACATCTATCTCATAGACTCCAAATTTCAAAGCTTTTAGCCCCCTAGAAGTCTACCCCAACTTCTTTTTGTTGTTAAATGCCATGGAATGGATTACAACTCGCAGTGACCCTGTATAGGGTTTCCAAGGAGGAACTGGTGGGTTTGAACCATTGACCTTGTAGTAAGCATTTCAGTGCTTATTCTACAGCACCATACCAGGAGTCCTTTTTAAAGAGGGGGAAACAGTTTCAGAGATATTAACTAAGCTAACTAAGATTACACAGTTTATTACTGGCAGAGCCAAAACTAATATTCTGGTATCTTGACTTTGAAAAATGATTTAGCCCATATACACATCCTCCATTCTGCTAATCTACTCTCCCTCCTGGATTTTCCCTTCCTCTTCACCCAGATTTCAACCCATAGTGAGATGAGGCAAAGCATTACTCAGTGGTTAAGGAAGTCATAACAACCTCCCACAACTGGACAGGGATTATTTTTGATTTACTGAAGCTCTCATCCATTTTCGTACCCTATCTTCACACTTAGCCTAATGAAACAGATTCCTGAGCTCAACATGTGTGAGAAACTGGGGCTGGAGGACTCAGCTCAGGAATAAGAGTCCAAATACTAGGAGGCTGGAAGCCACCAAGGGTAACTCCCTGTCTATTTCACATCTCCATCAGGATGGAGTGGCTGGTGGATTTGAAACATCAACTTTGCAGTTAGCAGTCCAGTACTTATCCTACAGTGCCACATCAGGACTCTATGGGGGCAGGTAGGCAATTAGGATTCAAAAGATAGTTTTGCTAGAGAAATGAAAAAAGGAGGGTGCTTAAATGGGGGGGGGGAGATCTTTGGGGAAGTTCCCTTGAGTAGGTAGGGCTGCGGCTCTTTTTATCTCAAATCTCAACATCCTTTTGAAGATATTCACTGAGGCTGGAACTTGGATAGACACCATTCCCAACCTTTTGTTAAGGTGAAAATCTGGCCTCACAACGTGGCTTTCTGGTCCTTTCCCTCTCCCAGTGTGGCCAGGGTTCCACCTTCTGTTCTACCTACAGCAATCCCCCTACCTCCACTCTCTGACTTTTTTCCTTCTCCCTTCAGACACAAAGTAGGCAGTTCAAACCCACCAGCCTCTCCCCCGTAGAGAGATGGGGCTATCTGCTGCTCCTGTAAAGATTTACGGTCTTGGGAACCCAATATAGGGTCTCTATGAGGCGGAAATGACTGCAGGCAGTGGGATTCGCGAAGATAGCCCTCTCTGCCCCAATTCCCACAGATGCCTTGGCAGTGTGTTTTTGGCTGGGAAATAGCAAGGGAACCCCAGTCTCGGTCAGACTAGGATGAAATCTTCCCGAGATAGGTGTGGGGGAGAACTAATCCAGCTCTTCAAAACCTCCGGTCACATGGGTTGGACCCTTTGATGCTGCGTGTCAGGATTGAGGGGATGGAGCACCTGTTGGGCCAGGGGTGATTTTATGGCATTTGCCTGGAGTCGCCAAATCCATTCCTTCTCAGTACAGTTGCTGGGTTTGCTTTCGGAGTCTTCGGAACTACGGGACCCAAACACGCCATCTTCTTTTACCTGGGGCCCCTCCCGGCAGGCCACCCCTCCCCCATGCCTTTCTGCCCCAAAGTCCCAGTCTCTCCTTTCCTCGCTGGGTCTCTAGTTCTTTCTTCTTCTTCGGCCTCCCCTTAACCTCCGCCTTATCCTTTGCAGTCTCGGGTCTGTCCCTCTCGCCGGCTCCACACCCCCTCCCCCGCGCCAGCCCTTTGTTTCCCGGTGTTGTATTTCCTGGGTTGCGGAGCGTCTCAGTCTCCGCATCTCTCCTCGCCCCGCCTCCGACGAGCCTGGGCCCGCCCCGCCCTCAGTCTCTCCTCCCCTTCCTCCCCGCCGCCCCTTTGCCCCGTGGGTACTTGGGGACCCACCTTCTGCTGGGCTGTCGTCTACTCCCATCTCCCGGCCGCGTCCAGGCTCCCCCGTGGCCGGTGCCCCCTGCCGCCACCACCCCCCCGCCTTCTCCCCGGGAGGGGCAGGTGGGCGGGCACTATTGTTGTAGGAGTCGGCGCCAGATTCCTCAGCCACGCTCGGGGTGGGACCAGCAGGGTTCGGGGGTGGGGGGGTGGGGTAGGATGAGGGGAGCGGTGATTTGAGCTCCGAGCAGCTGGGCTTCGCGGCTCGTTCCCTCCTTCGCGCTCTGTCGCTCAGCCGTCGCCGCCCGCCGGGCTGCGGGGTTCGGTGGCATCTCTCGGGCGCGGCCACTGCTCCCGCCCCCGGTGTTGCTCTCTTCCTCCCAACCCGGACTCCCCCATGTATGACGACTCCTACGTGCCCGGGTTTGAGGACTCGGAGGCGGTGAGTGCCCACGGGCGTGGGGGGGATGGGAATGGGGAAGTTGTGGTGACACCTTCTCTCCCTTGGACCCTTCCCCCAGTTCTGGACTTGGGAAAAACGCCCCCGTGACGGGGCAGTGTGTGTTCGGGGAGCATTGTAGGAAAGTGAGATAGGTCACTCACTTCTAGAGGGTGGATCCTGAGCCCAAGATTGGAGAGGTGGAGGGAGAAAGGGGTGGAGGAATTGAGGCTGAGGTGTTTAGCGGTTTTAGAGAGAGCAGACCTAAGGGCTAGAGTTCTAAAGGAGGATTTATGGAGAAGCTGGGCGTCTTGGGGAGGGGGACATTGCAGACTTCCTGTGCCCAAATGATGAGCCTGGGTCCCATCCTCTTCAGAAAGATATCATAAAACTTGAGTCCCTTCATTATCCCTTTCCATAATCTGTCTCTGCGTGTTGCCTTATCTCCTCACCCTTGCTCTACCCCAACTACTGGTCCTGACTAAAACCTGGGTACCCGGCACATGGGTGGGCCATCTGACAGCCCATTCATTCCACAACCTCCTGCTGAGGCTTCCTGAGAGCAGCATTCAGCATGGAGGCCCTGGAGGTGAGACCAGAGGAACTGAAGGCCTGGGGTTAGAGAGGAAGCTCTTTGCTCAGAGAACCAGGCAACTGATAAATATTTAATTCTCCTCTTTGCTTTTATCTCCTGACCCACTGAGACAAATCAGCTCATTAGGCAGTGATTCCCGGAGCTCAGAGAGCAGGGAGAGTGCTTGGAAGGATGGGACAAGGTTAGGGAGTAGCTTCTCAGCCCCCTGGAGCTGCCAATCTTCCTTTAAACCTCCTGAAAGAAGACCTCCTTGGAAGAGGACCATTAGATGATTTGGAGGAGGTCCCTGATGGGTGTGTAGGTTAGAGCTATACAGTTGCCAGCACCCCTGGGAATGAAAAGGGGGTATGATAAAGCCCTGACCCATCTCTTGCTGCCAGGCCCAGGATAGATGAATGCTAAACCTCGGAATAGGCTATTATCAGTCTTTTCTGGAACTGGACTCCTGCTGGGACCAACTCCTTATCAAGGCTCTGGGGCTGAAAACCTTGCAGCTAGAACAGATAACTTTTGAGGGGCTGGTGGATACCTCTTCTCTGACAGTGAAAAGGGCAGCTAACATGGTCCAGGGTGCCAACATGCCAAGGTGAGCTTGAGAAAGGACTAGAGGGTCTTTTCCATCCTTACTGAGAAGGCAGGGACTGCTACAAGGTAAACACTGACATGTGGAGGATGTTTGGAGGCACCATGCTGTCCCATTGCACCCTCCCCACCTCTCTCTAGTTCCTGGATTACCCTCCCCCACTTCCTTTCTCTTGCCTGGCTCCTTGCTCTCCCTGAGGCCCCCTCTGAAGCAGTAGGAGGGAGATCAGGCTCTAAATAAATCCACCGGCTCATCTCCCTCCTCTCCTTCCCCATGCTGCAGCCTGCCCACACACTCACCAGGCAAGGGGGGCACCACCAGGGCACTGTGCCAACTCCTGGCAGCTCTAAAGTACTGAGCCTCTGGCTGTTTTGGCATAGAAGGGAGTGGGGGAGACAAGACCCCCAGAATGTGCTTGGCAGGGCAGCCCTGGCCTCCCCAAGTGAGACCAGAGCTTCAGGAGGTAAGGATCCCTGAAGACTTGGGAGTAATGGTGAGAACACAACTTACTAAATAGTAAGGGAGCCATCCCATCATTTACATCCTAGAGTGAGAGGCCAGGTTACCCAACTACCACAGGCAAGCACATTACTATCAGTTTGAGAGCCTGGAGGGCATGTAATAAAGGTGAGACTCTTTTTCTACCACATACTAGGCATATAGGTGGTATCTAGTGTGTCCTTATCAAAGTGAATGTGGTTCATCCTGCCCTTCCACGTGGGTCTTTATGCACTTCAAACAGCCATGCCATGTAGAGGTATCTCCTGTGTCCTAAGACTCTGAGAAAGAGCTCCCTCCTCTTACTGACCTGGGAACTCAGTCTTCTTCCTGCTGCCAAGCCAGTCCTATTTTATTTTGAAGAGAGATGGGGAAGCACAGACAGACTGTTGTTAGCTGCTGGGTAACTGTCCCTGACTCATGGTGACCCCTTGCACAACAGAATGAGCCACTACCCAATCCTGTCCCAGTTCCACAATATGTTGAGTATAAGACACATGTGATCCATAAGGTTTTCATTGACAAAATTTTGGAATAGATTGCCAGGCCTTTCTTCCTGGTTCCTCTGGATAGTCTGCTGTAACCTGTTCACCATAACACACAAGCCGCCACTGACACAGGAATCAAACTATGGTCTCCTCATGGAATGTGTGAATTCTGTACCAGTGAACTACCAATGTCCCTCGGCCCCTCTGCTTTCTTCATGCCTTTGGCCTACCACAGACATTGTTTATAGTTTAAGCTGAGACCAAGCTGCCATGTCCTCTTGTCTGAGGCAGGGGTGTGATTTCACTCCCTCTGCTGCCTTCCCTCAGGTGGTCAATATTCTGCAGTCTGAGAAGGTAGTCTACAGTCCCTTTCTCTATACACACACACTTTCCCACATAAATCCCTTATCTAGGCTCTCATCTTCTCTTTCTCTCTGCCACCCAAACCTCAGAATTGAGGGAAGCAGCATTCCATTGTTATGCCCACAAAAGGGAAACCATGGCAAAAAAAAAAAAAAAAACCCACAAAATATTCTCTTCTCCCTAGACTGAGGGGAAACGCAGACATCTTGACTTCTGGCCTCTTGTCTCAGGATGTAGCTTCCCTTACTCTTGTGCATTTACCTCAGGGCCTTGAAGGGGAACCATGAGCCCTCCAAATGTGCCCTCATTGCCTAGAGACCCTTCCTACTGGCAGACTCCGTGACTCTCCTTGCTTAGCTTACCAGAGACCCCCTCCCTAAGTCCCTCGGGTCCTGTTCCTTAGCTGGGTTGCTTGGCACCAGCCTGGCCTTCCTCCAGGGCCTGATATGCCTCAAGCTTGGGGAGATGTAGGCCAGGTGGTAGGCGTGGCCCAGCTCGCCTGTGCCCAGGGAGATAGCTTTGTGTTGCCTTCTCAGCCTTGTTTGCTGCCCACACCTGGCCAGTTGCCCCAGCAGGTGTGGGAGGAAAGAAAGTGGGGGGTGGGGAGAGTAAACAGAAGGTGATTTCTAGGAGTTGGCAGCTCTGTGCCCTCTCTTCACCCTGGAATGGTAGAGACAAGGGAAAATGGGATCTAAGGAGGCAGGTGGCTGTTTCCAGACATTCAGGGCCAGTGCCATGCCAACCAGCATCTCTTGACTGCTCCCTGGCTGGCTGTACTCCCGCCAGGCATTTTAAAGGGATAATATCCAGGCTGCTTTGCAGGCTGGCGTGAACAAGAGTGTATTCTGGATTCAAAATCATCTCCAATACATAATTTACGGTACATCCCCCTGCTCTCAGACCTTGGAAGACATGGTCAAGGGGAGAAACGAGAGGAAAGAAGGAAGTGTGGTAAGCTATTGAAAGCTGCAGTATTCATAGGCTTGTAGGAAGCGCCCAGATCTGAGCATGTATTGATTAGGCCAGCATTTCCTGCAGCCTGAGAGATACCAGGGCCCTTCCTGTGGGGATAGGAGGAGATGCTCCCATAGCACCTTTCTTGCGTGAGTCCAGGGTCACTGCCTTTCTCCCATCGCAGGGTTCAGCAGACTCCTATACCAGCCGCCCATCTCTGGACTCGGACGTCTCCCTGGAGGAGGATCGGGAGAGTGCCCGGCGTGAAGTGGAGAGCCAGGCTCAGCAGCAGCTTGAAAGGGCCAAGGTATCACCTTCTGGAGCAGGAGACAAGTTTGGGTGGGAATCTGTGCTTGGTCCCAAGTCCCAGGAGGTCATTGGGCAGAGAGTATGTGAGTGTGAAAGAGTGTGTGTGATGGGTGAGCAGCGGCTCTGACCCTCCGCTGACGGGGCACCGCTACTGGGATGTGTGGTCTGAGGCTCCCTCGCTGACACCGATGGCCACTTTGTCCAGCACAAGCCCGTGGCATTTGCTGTGAGGACTAATGTCAGCTACTGTGGTGTACTGGATGAGGAGTGCCCAGTCCAGGGTTCTGGAGTCAACTTCGAGGCCAAAGATTTCCTGCACATTAAAGAGGTGATCGATACCCTCCCCTTCTCCAAAAGAAGTTTCTACCACGTAATTTCCCTGCTCCTGCCCCAACTCCTAATGCTTCTTATTCTCTGGGTCGTTAGTCTGTAAGCACATTCCCAAACTCCTCAGCTACTTACTTTTAACACACACTCATACAGCCCTGATACCCAAGACCAATGCCATCCTTCTTAGCCCTAGTAGAAGTTAGATTTGCTGTGTGACAGCTGTGATCCCGAGGTCTGGAATTCTGGGTGCTTCACCCCAGCTGCCTTTGCCTCTGGCACCTTCTCCTGCCTAGCTCCCCTCATGCTGCCTTCCTCAGTTGATCTGGGTGAGCTCACTAAATGCCTCCCTGGCTCCTCCACCTCTCCAACTCAGGACTAAGGCCAGCACTGCTGCCTCTCACCACCCTTCCTGCTCCTCCCCACCCTTAGAAGTACAGCAATGACTGGTGGATCGGGCGGCTAGTGAAAGAGGGTGGAGACGTCGCCTTCATCCCCAGCCCCCAGCGCCTGGAGAGCATCCGGCTCAAACAGGAGCAGAAGGCCAGGTGAGAGCAGGGCTGTGACTCAATAAACACCATGCCCCTAGACATGTGTACATTACCCATAGTACACCGGCACCACACATGTGTGCATATCCCACACCAAAATACATGCCTATACCCAGCTATACACATCTACACATCTCTATCCAGCAAATATACAAGCATACACATACAAAGGCACACACATCAAATGCTTCTTCATGAACTAAAGTGTGTGGAAACTTACACAGCTATTAATGTTTACACACAGATATGGAGCTTTCAACAAGTTAGTGGGAAAATTCCATGATCTTTCATTCCATTTGCCTACAAACTTTTTGAAGCCCCTTCAGTGTATACACAATGGCATATGTACACATTCTCTCTGACCTCCTTTTCTGCTCTCAGGAGATCCGGGAACCCCTCCAGCCTGAGTGACATTGGCAGCAGGCGCTCCCCTCCTCCATCTCTAGGTAGCCTCTCCCCACCCCACCCCCAGCTTGGGTAGGTGGGTAATTAAGACACAGGGAAGAGGGGATTTTCCCCAGGTTGACTGTGGGGAGGGTTGGTGGCAGGATCCAAAGAGCTGGGAGAAGCTCCGGATCTCCCCTGGGAGAGGGAATGCCATGCCCCCAGGACCTTTTTCCCCTTCACCAACTTTAATCTTTTATTTCCTTTTCCAAAAAGCCAAGCAGAAGCAAAAGCAGGTGAGTCAAGAAAGGGGTCTGAGATGGGGGTTTCTCATGGCTTATGGCTGCGGGAACAGTTTTCGGGCAGTCATTGTTGGAGGGGCAAAAGATACAGAAGGGAGGGAGTGCCAAGACTTTTGCGATCTTCTCCCAGGACCAAATGGTCATACGGCAGGCACCTAGGTTTTGCCTGACCTCTGGTCTATTCTGCAGGCAGAACATGTTCCTCCATATGATGTGGTGCCCTCCATGCGGCCCGTGGTGCTGGTGGGGCCCTCTCTGAAAGGTTATGAGGTGAGAAAAGGTCGCTGGCCCCAGAGTCACCTCTACCAAGCCTGCCACAGGAAGGGCCCCTGGGACAGTGGGAGGGGGCATCCTCCCCCGCAGGGTCTAAGTGTGTAACATGCAAGGTCCGTGAACCAGGCCTGGGGATTCTGCCCCTCTTCACATGGACTCTCGGTCAGCTCCCTGATCTTCCCCACCCAGGTCACAGACATGATGCAGAAGGCTCTCTTTGACTTCCTCAAACATAGGTTTGATGGCAGGTAAGCTGCTGGGCCTAGAGCAGCATGAGAACCAGGGAGAAGTCCATTGCCTACTTCCAGATGCTTGTTGTAGGGACTTTTCTGAAGGGAGTTAGTGAGGTCTGAGTAAGGTGGGGCCCAGGGCTTTAAGTTTAGAGGTGAGTTATGATTCTTCACCCTCACTCCAGGATATCCATCACCCGTGTCACAGCGGACCTTTCATTGGCAAAGCGATCTGTACTTAACAACCCCGGCAAGAGGACCATCATAGAACGTTCCTCTGCTCGCTCCAGCATTGGTAAGATGTCCTTGTCTCCCTGTTACTCTGCCCACTCAAGTATTAGAACATTTCTTCCTACTTTTCTTTTTCCCTACTCTGCTTTTCTGCCCAATTCCTTCTCTACCCGGCCCAGGATTGGTCAGAACCAATCCAAGTTGTTTCAGTACCCTACTCTTGTACCTGCCCAGTCCATCTGGATAAGCTCACCAAATGCCTCCCTGGTTCCTTCACCTCTGAGACCCAGGACTAAGGCTTTTGATTAATACCCTTCTCTCTGGTTCATTCCTGTCCACCATTTGGGAGCCCCTCTGGTAGCATAGTGGGTACGAATCGAGCTGCTAACTTCATAGTCAGCAAGCAGTTGGAAACTACCAGCTGTTCCTCGGAAACCCTGTATAGGGTCGCTATGAGTCAGAACTGACTCCACAGCACATAACCACCACCAAAGGCCCTGTTGGAATAAGAAATGTCTGGAGCCATAGGTGATCACTCCTGCTTCCTCCCTCCATAGCTGAAGTACAGAGTGAGATCGAGCGCATATTTGAACTGGCCAAATCCCTGCAGTTAGTAGTGTTGGATGCCGACACCATCAATCACCCAGCTCAGCTGGCCAAAACCTCACTGGCCCCCATCATCGTCTTTGTCAAAGTGTCCTCACCGAAGGTAGGTTAGCTGTGGTGATGGAGGCGGCTCTGAGTTGCCTCAGTAGAATGTAAAAATCTTTTTGGTATCTGCCCAGTGGCACCTGAGTTCTTGTTCCTTGCTGCCCCTTGACACCATTTTGAGTCATCCTCACCTGTTACCGATGCCATATCACAAGTGGGGGACATGCCCAGTTCTTTCCAGGCCCGGGTCTGCCCTTTCTCTCAGGTACTCCAACGTCTCATTCGCTCCCGGGGGAAGTCACAGATGAAGCACCTGACTGTACAGATGATGGCATATGATAAGTTGGTTCAGTGCCCACCGGTGAGTGCTTGCATCAGCTACCCCTATTCCCACTCTGCCTTATCCAGGTTGGAGCTATAGAGGTTAGTACGGGGCTGCCACTGTGAGGAGCTCAACTTTTCCCCTCTTCCCCAGGAGTCGTTTGATGTGATTCTGGATGAGAACCAGCTGGAGGATGCCTGTGAGCACCTAGCTGAATACCTGGAGGTTTACTGGCGGGCCACCCACCACCCGGCACCCAGCCCTAGTCTTTTGGGGCCCCCCAGTGCCATCCCTGGACTTCAGGTAACCACTTCCTGAATAAGTTCATATCTTCAAACAGCCAGCTAATGCATTGCTCTCCCCCTAAGCTGCCCGGCTCAAGGTTGAGGAGGGTCCTTGGCCTCTAGTTCAAAAGGCTTGGAGAGCTCTCAGCTCTGCTGGAGACAGAGCTGCTGCAGACAGCCTAAGACCTTTCTGATGAGGAAATAGTCAACAAGATGAGTAATCAGATTTGTTTCTAGGGGTCAGAGGAAGCAGTCTCCAAACCCTCCTCCTAATCGGGTTTGGTAATTTTGCTGGGTGCCGTCAAGTTGACTGTGACTCATAAGGAACTGCCCCATAGGGTTATCTAAGGTTCTAGTCGTTCCCAGAGAGCAGCCGGTGGGTTCAAACCCATGAGTTTCCCATTAGCAGCTAAGCATTAACCATCGTGATACCTGAATTTGAAGGGAGTCAGAAGCTCATATCCAATCTGAAGAGGAAGACTGCTCTAGCATAGTTCTTCCTTGTGTTACTTCCTGGATCTAGGACTTGAGGGAGGAGGTGGAAGAACCGCCAACCCTACCAGAGGTGGGAGGGAGGCTAAGGTGAGGTCTGTGCTGCCTTACTTAGAGCTGTGTGTTGCCCCCAGAACCAGCAGCTGCTGGGAGAACGTGGCGAGGAGCACTCGCCCCTCGAGCGGGACAGCTTGATGCCCTCAGATGAGGCCAGTGAGAGCTCACGCCAAGCCTGGACAGGATCTTCACAGCGTAGCTCCCGCCACCTAGAGGAGGACTATGCAGATGCCTACCAGGACCTGTACCAACCTCACCGCCAACACACTTCGGGGCTGCCTAGTGCTAATGGACATGACCCCCAAGACCGACTCCTAGTCCAGGACTCAGAGCACAACCACAATGACCGGAACTGGCAGCGCAACCGGCCCTGGCCCAAAGATAGCTACTGACAGCCTCCTGCTGCCTAGGCAGGCAGGCACAGGCACAGCTGACTGGGGGACCCACTCCAGGCAGACAGGTTGGAGTTAGACTGGCATTAGGCTGCCACTAGGCTCAGCCCCCAAACCCCCCTGCCCAGCCCCAGCTCCAGGGCTGCCTGGGGTCCCAAGGTTCTGGGAGCAGGGGGCCCCTTTACCTCCTGGGCAATGTCCTCCTAGGCTCCCATTCCAGGTACTAGCTGTGTGTTCTGCACCCCTGGCACCTTCCAATCCTCTCTTGCACAAGAAGCTGCCCACTGGGCAGTGCCCTCAGGCCAGGATCCCTTTTAGCAGGGGCCTTCCCATCACTCAGGGAAGGGATGTCTCCTCAAAGTGACCAGAGGATGGAGGTATGGCCACATGGCATGAAGAAACAGTCCCTGAGCAGACACAGGTCTAACAGTCAAGGGACTCGGGGGTTGTACCTTGGGGTCCAAGGGCCTCCCCTTAACTCACTGCCAAACATTAGAAATGAGACAATCAGAGACCATCAGGTGGCACTCCCATCTGTGAGCTGGGGCAGGCCATCCAAGTACAGGACTGGAATGGCAGGCAGCCCACACTGGGGCTAGAGCTCTTGGAGGGAGGGCTGTCTTCACCCTTAAACAACTGACTGGACTAGGGACTAAGAGCATGGTCGAGCTAAGCAGAGGACAGGAGTCAACCTGGATTGGGGACTCGGGGAGGGAGGGCGGGCGGGTATGCACAGCACAGATGTATGAAACACTTTCAGGGCCCTGTTCGCCCCTTTGTTTTGTCCTTGCATCTGGTCATTTTTGGTTTTGCCCCTCATGTGCCCTAGGGAATATGAGCCCCAAAATTTACTCCCTGATTCATAGCTGCTGCTTCTTACATTAGGGTTAGATGGGGAGAGATAGGACACAGTGAACAGCCCTTAGAGGCCGTGTCTACCTGCCTACCCTTGCCTATGGCTCTAGTGTGACCTACAGAGCATGCTCCACAAGACCCTGCCCCCACCTCACTGTCATCACTAATAAACACCATGCACAGTCCTCAGGCTTTTGTTTTGTCTGCTGGCTTAAGTGGTCAGACTCCTGGCTCCATAGCCTGGCCAAGTCTGGAGGAAGTAAAGAAGTATGCTGGCCTCTCCTCTCACAAAGCACTCATTGAGTGGGAAAGAAAAAGGGCAGAGCCAGGAGAGCCCTCCCTCCTGTCAGCCTCATCCCTAGATGCCTGGGGGGAGGCATTCAGCAGCACAGATGGAACACGTTCTGGGAGGTGAGAAGGAAGAAGCTTAGTCACAGCTTTATACTGTCCCTGCCTCAGGCCACAAAGGTCCTAGAAGTAGCAACAACTTGAACTCCATGTGCTTGCCTGTTCATTCTGAGAGGTAAGGATGAGCATGTGAGTAAGTGAACATTGGTAGGACGGCCTAGGTGCTACAGCACTCACCGCACCCTAACTTAGCCAGAGCTGGCTTAGCCCTCCTGGATGCCCACCTCTCCCTTCACCAGCCTGTCTTCCCATATACAGTAGGCCTGGCCATTAGGGAGCCACAAGGAAAAGCATACAGCACAGGTGGAGAGTGGTTCTCACTGTGCCTCATCTGCTACTCTCATTTCTTACACTGCAATGTTCTTCACAGGGTATCCTGGCCAGGGTCATGAGTATGTGGGGTTGGAGCAGGGGCAGAAAGGCATTCTGATCCTGCTGCCAAATGGCTTCATCTCAGCTCAGATGTCATCTACTGACTTAAGACTAGCAGCTGAGACTCTAGGCTCCACTCTAGATGCAGATGTCTTTAATTTTCCAAGTCAAATCCACTGTGCCCTATGCTGTCCCTCCCTGTCTTCCATGGTGCCAGGGAGAACTTGGGAGATGAGCTTAGCTAGAACTAGACACAGCTTTAATATCCATCTGTTTATTCTCAGAACATACAAATTCATCTTTTCAGAGAATAGAAAACAAATTCACTCTGACTTAAAGATGAACACAGCTCATCCTGATCCCACAACTACTAAAAAAAATTCCCTGGGCGAGGGATGCCTAGAGTGCGCAGCACCCCTTGGCACTGGGGTGGTACACAGCTCTAAAAGCTCTTGAGAATCCAAATGTGAAAACAGCTGTCAAAACGACAAGAGTCCAGGGCCCCCAACCCTCACAAGGTCATACCCGCTGGGCCATTTTGGGCAGCATTGTTGCTACAGCTTATGCAGTCAAGTCTGTACCCAAAGTGCTCCCATCCAGGCAGTCTGGGGGAACATGCCAACTGGTTGTCCCCATACCCTGGGAAGAGCTGAAGGCCCACTGCAATCACCAAGCCCCACAGAGGGGCAGAGCTAGGCCCAAACCTGGCCATTTGCTTCTCTTGCCTCCTATAGCAGCTCCTCTACTCCTGAAGCTCAGGCCTTCAGACATGAGTCTTGATTGTTTTGTAGACTCCCATAATCCAAGAGTGAGGACCTGGAGAGAGGGATGTGAGGGTCCTAAAGAACCAGCATTAGGCAGCTTCAGAGCATGCCCTTAAATCCTTGGGAAGAGTGTTGTGTCAGGCAAAGATGGTCTCTTCCCGGCGCTTCTTGGTGAGGATGGTGCCTGGCTTGTGTTGGGCATCTGGGTGGTTGGCTAGTTCTGGGGGACAGGAGGACACAGGGCTCTCCAAGATGGCTTGCTTCAGCTCATAGAACACAGCAGAGTCCTCTTTGGTGAGGAAGGTAATGGCCACACCACTCTTGCCAGCTCGTCCTGTACGGCCAATTCGGTGGATATAATCTGGGGAATGGAAGGAGTGTCACTCAGGGCATCAGGTCAGACCCCTGGTAAACAGTGTCTAAAGCCTCTGCTTCCAAAGGTATCATCTTCCCACCACAGGTCCAAGGACAGTATATATAACTCATGCAGCCTGAACCTCAAGTGCCTACAAGTACTCTCATCATAACTGATTTTTGGTGACCCTACCATGCTAAGACTAAGAGTTGCCTAGCTCCATGCTTCTCCACACCCCTGAGGACTGAAGTATTATCCCAGATCCTGGGACAACATCCAAATGGGAAGCAGGGCAGGGGCTCTTTTCACTGGGACACGCCATCCTAGACATAGAGCTTTGAGAGATGGTGACAGTAGCTTCGGTGCAGCACTCTGACTTTGAGACAGAAAGGATAAGGAGTCTCCCTCTACCCTCTACTGAAGCTACTTTCCCTTAACACTTACCTTCAATATTTTTGGCCATATCATAGTTGACAACCATAGACACATCTTGGATGTCGATACCACGACCAGCCACATCTGTAGCCACCAAAATATCCTTGGCTCCAGCCTTGAGGTTGGACAGAGCAAACTCTCGCTGCTCTTGGCCTTTTCCACCATGAAGTGTACACGCGTTGTACTGTTGGAAGGATAAAGAAAGAGCAATGGATCCCAAGACACACAGAGAAGAGAGGGAAGGTTAGATAGAGCAGGATAGAAGGGGGAGGAGAAAGAATAAGCGCAACTGAAAAGTAGGAGCAAACAGGCAAGCTAAAAGAAGATAGATCAGTACAGGGTGTGATGTGGCAGTATTACTGGGGGTAAAGTCAAAGGCAATGCAGTCAGAGCCAGAAGTAGAGTCACACAGATGATGTTGTTGTTAAGTGCCATTGAGTCGGGTCCGACCCATAGCGACCCTGTACAGGGTTTCCGAGGGTGTAAATCCTTACGGGAGTAGAAAGCCTCATCTTTCTCCCGCGGAGCGACTGGTAGTTTTGAACCGCTGACCTTAAGGTTCGCAGCCCGATTCGTAACCACTACGCTACCAGAGCTCCTTCACACAGATGATGGTAGTCAATAAAAGAATGAGGTGAGAGAATAAGGTAGAAAGCAGGGATCAAGAAGATGGAAGTTAAACTGGAGTAGAAAAGACACACTTTTCTGCAAACACTAGTACCAAGAGTTGTTAAGTGCTCTTGAGTTGGTTCTGATTCATAGAGACCCTGGATGGGATTTCCAAGGAGAGGCTGGAGGATTCAAACTGATGACCTTGCAGTTAGCAGCCCAACATGTAACCCACTATACTACCAGAGTTCCAGTATGAAGACTACAGGACCTTAATAATAAAGGACTAGGGAGCACAGTTATGGATACTTCTTAGACATAAGCAAACACACCATGACATTGGATTTCTGGGATTAAAGGATTAAGGTCTCTCATAGTTTCATAGGACATCTCAATTAGAACATACAGTACTATATCCTAGTTTGGTGTATGTTGAGTCTTAAAAACTTGCCAGCAGCCATCTACAATCTAACGTGATCACTATTCATTCAGAGCAAGAGAAAGCAGGAAATTAAAAGAGTCAGAGAAGAAACTAGTCTCCAGGGCAAACGGTCTAACACCTGCCCCCAAACCAGAACTAAATGGTGCCCGGCTATCACTACCAACCTTTTTTGCCCAAGGACACAATAGGTGGTTCCAGGAAAAATGGGAGAAAATGTGTAACAGAACCTCAAGTTCTTAAAAATACACAGCATTGATTCAATACTAATTGTTATCATGACTAATTGTGATTTCACAACTGTAAAGGCAGAAATTTTGTAACAAAAATGGGGTAGTAGTTAATTTTACAGTCCAGAAACAGAGAACCCTAAGACAATCAAAGGAGAAGAGCACCAGTGCAATGCGGGACCTTATCCAGAGAAGCAGTAACACCAGAGATGGAGGCAGAGATTGGGACATGGAAAGAGGGAGCAGCTGAGGACTCTTAGATTCACGGAAAGAGAGGGACTGAGAGCTGGCAACCAGGAGGAGGCAGACTTGCAGAAGTGCCTTTTGGTGGTTTAAATTATTATATATGCCTGAGTGTTTAAAAATAAATAAAGCTAAAATGAATACCAAGATATACTGTTATCTGATGGTATATGGAGGGGATTTATAACCATTGTAATGAAACGAAGTCTATGATTTGTTGAATGTAAAACTGATGATCTGCCCTGTAACCTTTCACTCAATTCACAATAAAAACTTAAAAAAACACACACACAGCACATGACCTATTAGACTGCTTAAAACTGGAGGATTGTACTACACTGAAATACTCTTCAAACCTGGACCCCACCAACCCCATAAGGTCACCTTTTAGCTAAATAACAAACTGGCTTTAAGTACTATACTCCTTTAAAAAATCACCTATATGAGACAGTCAACATTTATTTTAAAACAAAGACGAATATGTAAAGGGGTAGGGAAACTAGATTAATAGAAACTGAACAATCAGAATGAAAATGATGAGAATGTTCACATATGTGAAGAATGTGACCTTTGTCACTGAACAATTTCTAAAGAAATTGTTCAACCTAAACTGTGGTGTAAGCTTCACTCAAAGAAAACAAAGTAGGTGAAAAAGGATTCTGATTGTCATTATCTCCCTCCTGAGGACATCACCCCACCCCCTTCCAAGCAAATATAAAAACAAACAGCTTTGACCCACCCACTCTTCCAGGTCCTCAGACCCTTCCAGAATAAGTATCTTGAAACTTCTCCCTGACTGCAATGGATAAAGACTTACAGAAGATTTGGTTGGCATTGCTGACATAGATAGTCTTATCAACTAACCCGGTTCTCTTTATCCCCACCAAACTGCCTTTTCTTCTGGCTTTGATTTGTCAAAAAAGAACGGGAGAAAATTGAAAGTAGGCACCCAAAGGGACCCTCTAGTTTGAAAATGCGTCAGAGACCAGTCTTTCCTCTCCTTTGCCAGACATACCCCCATCTTCTCCAGGGATTTGGCCAACACATCGCAGCCCTTCTTTTGGTTGACAAAAATGATGATGGGTGGATCAAAGCCTTGCTCCAAGATTGCCAGCAGCTTTTTCCTAAGAAGAGAAAGACAAAGCAGAAAACAATATAATTATCCCCCTCAGTGAAATACTCAAGACGATGAGCAGACTCTTCAATGCCCATGGCACTCCAAACAAAGCAGACACTCTTCAATAGCGCAGTGCAGTCCCTTTCCAGCCACCACTCTGACCTAAAGTTTAAGTCCTTTGCCCGCCCTGTCTCCACCCAGGCTCAGTTGCTCCTGTACCTCTTTTCAGACTCTGACATAAGGAAGACCTTCTGTTCCACTCGTTCATGGGGCTTGCCTGCAGAGCCAATGTACACCACAGCAGGTCGCCGAAGATAGCTCCGGGCCAGACGCTCCACTGCTGGGGGCATGGTGGCTGTGAACATGACCGTCTGTGAAAACAGGAGGCTCAGTTCTAGGCCCGGCCAGACACAGTCACATAGCCTATCATCACCATAGGCAGTCCAGCTAAAGACTCTAAAATCAGCCCTGGTGGTAAGCTTTGCTAGCCACCACCTTAGGAAATAAGGGTCTATCTACTGCCTTCCCATCTTTGTCCTCAGCACTTGTTCATTACTGCATTTTACATCCTATGATGAGGGGGAAGGACTGGGAGTATGTGCTAGTACCTATAGTCTCTATAGTAACAGGACAGCTTGGAATCCTTTTTCCAAGGTGGAGCTAAATGGCTCCACCCTTAAGACTGTTGGAAGACTGACAGATGCCTCATCATTCTGGAAACCTAGGGTAAGAAAGAATCAATTTTCCCCAATCCAGGGATCCAGCCTTACTTGGCGATACTTATGTTTCCCTGACTCAAAGTTGGCCAACATTTTCTCAGGGTCTTCAGCCTCATCTGTGTCTGGCTTCTGGTTGCTGACAGGCATGTGCTCCAAGATCTTTTGAACATCTGGCTCGAAGCCCATGTCAATCATCCTATCTGCCTCGTCCAGAACCACATAGGTACAGCGGCTCAGTACCAAGTAGCGGTTCTCCAGCACATCAATCAGACGTCCCGGGGTAGCAATCACAATCTGGAAGGTAAAGTGTAATCATATAAGGCCCTTTCTTCTACCTCCTGTGAACTACCCACCCACTTGGACAACAGATCTCCAATGCTAAGGAAGTGAATGAACCCCAGCCTCCAGTTATGTCTGGCAGTGAGAGTTGCTGGGAGTTTGCATGAAATGACGTGTTGCAACTTTGAATTTTCCAGGAATGAATGGGTTCTTGAGTAATGTCTGGGGGTTAGGCAACTCAAACCCAATGCCATCGAGTTGATTATGACTCATAGCGACCCTACACAGGGTTTCAAAGACTGTAAATGTTTACAGGAACAGACAACCTCATGTTTCTCCCAAAGAGCAGCTGGTGGGTTTGAACTGCCAGCCTTGCGATTAGCAGTTCAGTACTTAGGGAATTAGACAAGAGGCAAAATCAGAAGGAACTTTCCTAGATGGGGGAGAGACTAAGATATTGTAGAGGACTCTTATAAAAGGATTGATTATATTGGAAAGTCTGCAGAAGGCTTAATTCCTATAACAGATTTCTTATTCCTATTCTCCTGTCCCATCCTGAGATAATGGTAACACATAAAGTCAATGAGATGGTCTAGCAGAGTGACGAAGAGCACAGGCATTGGATCTGAATCTCAGCTCGGTCCATTACTAGCTGTGTGTGATTATGGACATTATTAAGCTGAGCCTCAGCTTCCTTTTTAAATGGAGATACCACTAGCACGCTCACATGTTTGCTGTTGAGAATTAATGAGCAAATATATACACACATATTTGATGTGATTAGTACAACTACTGGTATGCATTCTCAATAAATTAATGTTATATGCTGTAGAGTCAATTCTGACTCTTATCAGTCCTGGTGAGAACTTGCCCCCACAGGGTTTTCTTGACTTCACAGAAAGAGAGTACTAGGTCTTTCTCTCATGAAGCAGTTGATTTAACTCGAACTGCTGACCTTTAGGTTAGCAGCTGAGCACCGTTAACGGTTGTGAAACCAGGGTTTCTTCACAATAAATGTTAAGTGCCATCGAGTCAGTTCTGAAGCAAGCCTGTATAGGGTTTCCGATGAGTGGCTAGTGGGTTTGAACCGCCAACCTTGCAGTTAACAGTCCAGTGCTTATCCTACAGTGTTACATCAGGACTCCAATAAATAGAAGTACATATACACACAAACCAAACTCTTGCTTACTCTCACTGATCATCTATGGGAGAGACTACAAAGACATAATCAAAATAGAGAGGCTTCCCAAACAGTGAGCTGCCTGCTGGCTCAGAAACGAACCTCACAGCCCATGCGCAGCCTGAAGCCCTGGTCTTCTCTGGAGATGCCACCAATGACAGCCACAGTGCGGATGCCCAGTGGCTTCCCAAACTTGATGGTCTCTTCCTCAATCTGCTGGGCCAACTCACGGGTGGGGGCCAGGATGATGGCATAAGGACCCTGGTCTGACTCTTCAATCCTGTGGTAAATGGGACATCCCATAGCTTCGTCAGCCTTTTCATCCAACCACAAAAAGGAGCAAATCAAAGTTATTGTTAAGGGCAGTTACTGAAATGGAGGGACAAGGGTAGGATGGAATGATACCATTTAGAAACCACAGACTGCAGGATAGCAAACTTCTCTAGTGAGTGGTTCTAGCCAGAAATAAAATCACATGCTTCTCTGATACCATGACCCAATGAATTAGTCCCTAGTCTCCATTCTAGATTAAAGAAGGGGGTTTCTGACTTAAAAAAAAGAAAACCAAACAGACATTTGTCACTTTCACCTTCCTTACCCAGCCAAGCCCACTCCACCTGGTACCAGCTGACCTCACCTGTCAATCTTGGGGAGAGTGGTGATCCACACTAGTAACGGGATGAGAAAGGCTGCTGTCTTGCCACTGCCAGTCTCAGCTACACCAATGATGTCACGATTTTGTAGCCCAATGGGGATTGCCTGACGCTGGATAGGCGTTGGTTCCTGTAGTCACACAAAGACAGTAAAGGCTACAGGCAGAATCATACCATCTACTACTGACAGAGTGGGTATATATACTTAGCACAACGTGAGGGTTCACAAGAATAGGGATCTAAAAACACCATCACTAAATGAAGTTTGAATCCCCTTTGAATGTAGGAAAATGTCAGGTCTCCTGGACCAACCTGTGCCTTCTTACCTTGTAGCCACACTTATCAATAACCTCCAAGATGTGTGGAGGCAGAGACGAGTCTTTCCAAGATCGGATGGGATTGGGGATCTTGCCACCTTTGGTGGTGATGCTATAGTCTTCGCGGAAGATCCGCCAATCCCTGTCTGTCATCTCATCCAACTTCTTCTGAGACCAATGCCGATCATCCCAGCGCTGCTTAGCTTCCTTCTTACGAAGCTTGCGGAGTCTTGCCCTAGAGTAAGATAAATTAGTATCCTCAACTCCTTTCTATGAAGACTTTTAAGTGCCACGCAACCACTCATAGCCCTGTTCACTCACTCCTCCTGCTCCTTTTCTTCCAGTGTTCGCCTCTTCTCCATTAGATCTCCATAGAAACGTGACTGCTCTCGTTTCTGCTGCTTTAGGTCAATGCCTGCAATGAAGCCTCGCCCCAATAACTGCACCTGGTGCCGTTCTTTGTACCTGGGGTTGAGAGAGAGGAAAACAAGGAGAAGGGGCTGGCTGTTGCAGCAGTAAAAGAGAAAGGCAGACTACCAATATGGAATAATTCCCATTTCTGGCTGGTTGACTATTAGTTTTTCTACCTTTCACACCCCAATTTTTCCATTTCCACTAGGAAGTACCTAGGGTAAAATAACTAGAGCCTAGGCCTGATGCTACTCACAGGGGGTTGTAGTCAATGGATGTGTCCTCAGATGCATCCCACTCAAAGACAAATTTGCGATCGTTGAGATGTCTCGTTCGGCGCCGCTTCTTGACGCCACCCAGGTAACGCTCCTACCAGGGAAACAGCACAAAGCCTATCAAGGTCAAGGCCCAAACCTCACATTTTGAGGAATGTAAAGATAAGAATGGCCAAATAAGACCTTGTTTTGGGGGCAAGGTGGGAATGGTGGGGTGGAGCGTGAGGATAGAGCCAAGGCCTGTACCTTAATGGCATGCAGTTCCTTGCTCTTATCCTTTTCTTCCCGGATTTTCTGCCGCCCTTCCTCATCCTCATTTCCATTGGTCTCCCGCTCCATCCTCTCCCTGCGTTCCCGACGTTCTCGTTCTTGAGGGTCTTCTGCAGGCCAAAGAAAGAAAGCAAAGCTGTATAAGATGTCAGTGCAAGTAAAACGGAGAGGCAGTAAAGGGGACCCAAAAGACAATGTTCACCAAATGAGAAAAAAAAGGGACCTTATGAAAAAAAAGGGTGACCTAAGAGGAAGATTTATTCTCATAAATTTCCCTCTACCCAAAACCAGAGCAAACAGGTTTCTGTCTGACCTGAGTGACACCGCAGTCCCATTCCATACTTTCCTGTCCAATCTAGTAATTATCTAGGGTAGGAAAACGAACCCAACATCTTCCTGCCCAAGTCTTGGAACTGTTTCCTCTTCTTCCTTTCCTCCTCAAGCATTTTCTGCCGCTCTTCCACTTCCTGCTGCCGCCGCTTTACAGCCTCAGCCTCTCGTTCTGCTTTGGAGAGGAATTTAGGCTACAAAACAGATTGGAACTATAAACAAAGGACCTGGGATCAGGACACAGTCACATCACTAATGGGGAGATGGCAGAGTCTGAAAATATTTGCCCAGGCATTAAATCCGTTAAGAAAATATAAATAGGCCTAGGACCCCAAGCTCTACCTTAGCTTCAGCTTCTTCCTCAGCCTTTTTCTTGGCCAGAAGTTCCTCCAAGGATAATGGCTGGGCCTGAAGATAAAACATAAAGGCTCTCATTCTCTGAAGATCAACAAACCAGGGCTTCAGCTGAAGAGGAAGATGAGAAAAATCCTTCCTTTCCTTTACCTTGAGTTTCTTATCACCATGCTCATCCTCTTCATCCTTCCTAGAATCTCTGTCCTTCCGAGATTTAAAATCTTTTCCTCGACCAGGAGATAAGCTTTAAGGCAAAGAAACAGGAAAGGTCCATATATCGCTGCCTTACCCACAGTCCCTCGATAAGATTAATACTGAAGTCCAAAAGAGGATAGAAGTTTATTCATGAGTCAACAAGACTGGCTCATAATAATCCATCATGTTCTGAAGCTCCCTTAGCAGGCAAGGCTACTCTGCTGCTCTGAACCCTGATTGACCGTGGCCCTGCCTTGGCTCCATTCTACCTGATATCTTTCCTGAGAATAATTTCTTCTGAGAAATGGGTCTTCACTACTGATATCAAAAATATTTCATCCAAACAACAGCTGCACATTGAAAAACATAATTCTGCTTAACTTCATAACACAGTCAATGTAGCCTACATGGCCACCCACCCACACTGCTCTCGGGTACTGCTACACATTCCCCTCCTCATCTTTCCTTCCTACCTGGTCCAGCAATCCTTTTTCATGTCTGCTATAAATCTCATCTACAAGCTGTTATGAGCAGTCTGTTCTTTGACCTGAATTCTTGCACACTCAGGGCCTGAAAGAACTGTGCATAGGTTTCCAGAGGAAAGCAATCAAGACACTGGCATTTTGCTATCCTAACAAATACATGTTATATATCCTGGGTGGGACACTGGTCTGATGGAGAAAAAGAAATGTTATATAAACTGGTAACTTTTTCAAATGAATTTCAAAACTCTAAGGACAAGTTCACCCTCAAAGGGTTGTGATTTTACTACCTAATTATTCTTTCAAAAGAAAACAGCTGTATAATAACCACCAATAAGATCTGCTAAGAGAAGCTGACTTCCCTATGAAGCTAAGGAAGAGACAGCGTCCCTGTGAAACCATTCTCATTCCCTTAGGTACCTGGATCGTTTACGGTCCTTGTCCCGTCTGTGCCCATCTTTGTCCCGATCTCGGTCCTTTTTGTTCCGATCACGCTCCTTATCTCGCTCTCGTTCTTTGTGCCGTCGTTCTCTGACAGACAGAAAATATAGGTAATCACTTGACATTTCCAGAGTATCCTCCTTTTCTGTAGCCCAAGAAAGGAGCTCTGGTAGCGTAGTGGTTACGAATCAGGCTGCGAACCACAGGGTCAGCAGTTCAAAACTACCAGCTGTTCCGCAGGAGAAAGATGAGGCATTCTGCTCCCGTAAAGATTTATAGCCTTGGAAACCCTGTACAGGGTCGTTATGAGTCGGAACCGACTTCACGGCATATAACAACAACAACAAGGCCTCTGTGCTCTTTTTTCCTCAAAAGTAGTGTTTTTCAATCAGGGCAATGTACTTTCTGGGAAAGTTATGAGGGAATTCTAAGGTCTGACAGATCAGAGTTGTACTGCTAAGTTTTAACGGCAATGACAGGTCATGGACAATGTGACCTACCTCCCCTGATTATCTGGGCCTCAACTTGACAAGTTCCCTCCAAACCTTTGAAAGCTACTAGGTAACCGGGGGAAAATAAAAACACCTGCAATTCTAACTAGGCTAGGGATAGAGAAAAGTGGAAAAGACAACTGTCCTAATACAAGAGACAAGAGGGGAACTGTGAATTAAGACATCTGAAATGCTCCTTCCCCTGTAACAGATGTAACAAAGTTATTTACCTTTCTGTAGACTTGGAACGGGAACGGGAGCGAGAACGGCTGCCCCCTCGACGTCTATCCCTTGAACGATGCCGCTTCCGATCCTTAGGTGGGGAAGACTTCCGGTCCCGATCTCTTTCCCGCTCTCTGTCAGGAGTTCGAGATCTTTTCCTTTCCTCCTTGGAAGGTGATGCATCACGGTCCTTCTTGTCAGCCAGCTCTCCTGCCATCTGTCATGGGTAAGTGGAGGACTTACTATATACTGGGCACCATCCTAAACAAGTTGACTTTTATATTCACTTAATTCACAAAAAATCCCTACAAGAGAGACTTCTAGCAAGATGGTGAACGAGGCAGACACACTGCATGGACTCTCCACAACAAAGACAGGAAAGACTGAATGAAACAGACACAGATGAAAATCCTGGGACCCTAAACTTCAGAGGAAAGGTTAGAGAAGTGGATTGAGTGCTTGCCATAAGGAGAAGCTAAACAGGAACAGAGAAAGAATGAGACTGACTGGTGAACGGCTGGCCAGATGGCCTGACAGCAGATTCATGTAGACAATGGAAAGCTCCCTGGTGACCAGAGGTGTGGCCAGCTCCCACCCTCATCCACTCCCAGCACCGACCCTGTTCTCCTGGAGTTTGGAGCCAGGGGGTTGTGAACCATGCCAGTGTGAGGTGGGGGCGTCTCTGCCACTTTGATGCCTGGATTCAGGTGGGCTCTACTCCAGACCTACAGAACCCACAGAGCCACATATAAGCACTAGTCTAGCAGAAACCCACATAACCAGCCACTCTTATCTCTAGCTGTCCCGTGGTCCTAACAGACACTGAAACCAGCTCCATCAATGATCTTCATGAACAGCTTTTGATTGGGTGCCCTCAACACAGATTAATACCTAGGCCTGTAGAAACTCCATCTAGGACCAGGAATTCCGCTGTCACATCCCTCCCGCTCCCCACTCATGAACTACTTCAGATTGGGTGCCCTGAACATAGATAATACCTAGGCCTGTAGGAACTTCATCTAGAACCAGGAACTCTACTGTCATATCCTTCCTGCTTCACCTCGTGAGCCCCTTAGTTTGCAGGAGTTCCCCAGAGTTTTCTCTTCAACAGCCGCAATTAAATAAAAATAAAAAATGGTCTTTATTTAGTTTTTATTTTCCTTTTGTTGTTTCTATTTATTATTTCTTCTTCTCTTTCCATTCCTTTGAATTTTATCCTTTCTACCTCAGCTTTGGAGTCCTAGTGTGGCACTGTGGGTTAATGCACCAGACTGTAAAGCCATTTGAACTGCAAGGTCAGTGGTTCAAGCTCACCAGCTGCTCCTTGGAAACCCTATACAGGGTCACTATGGGTCAGAACCAACTTGATGACACTTAACAACAACAACCTCAGCTTTTGTTTTTCCATCTTTTCCTGTTTCTCATTTCCCTTCTTTTCTTCTCCCTTTTGATCTTTACTAATCTCTGTATCTTTTAATCTACCCCCTCTCTATATTTTTCCCCTTCTGTTTATTTTCTCTTATTTTTCTCTTCTATATCTCCATTTTCCTGCCCCTCTTTTTAGTTATAATATTGATTTTTTTCTGGTTGCTGCCTGTTTTTATATACTTTTTTCTCCTTTATTTTTATCTCTTTTCATTGTTGGTTGTTTATGGTGTTTCATTTTCTTGTGTGTGTGTAGGGGAGGGGGTTCTCCTCTTTCCCACCCAACAGGAGACAGCAACCATGCCCATGCAGCCCAGTCACAACCATACGTTCTGCAGCTCCACCCACTGTGCAAGGGCCAATACCAGCTCCTATGCTACCTAATCAATGATAGAGAGCAGCCAACACCAGCCAAACCTCCCTAAACTGGGGTGCATGAACAGTGAACAGAGAACGGTGCACAAGCTTCCATTCTCAAACTACACCCCCAGGAGACAGGAGAGCCTAAGAGCACATCAACACACAATCATCAATTCAATACAAAATACAACACCACAATGTCCCCAAAACAAATGTGTTTAGAACACACGAAGAAACAAAGAGAATGGCTTAAACAAATGACCAAAATGCACAACCAGAAAACAGTTGAGGAAGAAAAGGAAACTGAAAAAGAATTCAAAAGAATGATATTTAGTTGACTTAAAAAGACTGACAGAGTAAGGAAAGCAAGGAGAACACAGAAAAAACTTTAGAAGACTTCTAGAAAACACTACAAGACCAAACAAAACAAATACAAATTTTGAAACAATAAAAAACCCGTAACTAGAAATCCAAAATAGCCACCCAAAAGATGAAACAGGAATAAATCTAACCAGAGAAACAACAAAGGCACATACAAAGAAAACAACAAAGCATTACTAAAAGAAACCAAAAGAGACTTACAAAAGTTGAAGAATATACCATGCTCATGGATAAGAAGACATATTATTGTGAAAATGTCAACAATACTCAAGGCAATCTATAGATTAATACAATCTCAATCCAGATTCCAACATAATTTTCTAAAGAGATGGGGGGAAATGATCCCTGATTTTATCTGGAAAGAAAAGAGACTACACTGGAAATCCATTTGCAGAAGAATGAAACAAGACCCATATCTCTCACACCATATACAAAAACAAACTCAGCATGGATTAAATATTAAATGTAAACCCTAGAATTATAAAGATCATCAATTAAAAAATAGGGACAAATTTAGAGGCTGTAAGTAATACTTGGCATAAACACACTATCAAACATTATTTTTTTAAAAACATACATACAGTAAAAGACAAAATAGATGACTGAGACCTCCTAAAAATTAGACACTTATTTTCATCAAAAGATTTCATCAAAAGAGTAAAAGGGGAGCCTACAGACTAGGATAAAGTTTTTTGCAATAACATATGAGACAAAGGACTATTATCTAAAATGTATAGGAAACTAAGACACCTCTATAAGAAAAAGATAACTCAATTAAAAAATGGGCACAGGATATTAACAGACACTTCACCAAGGAAGACATTCAGGTAGTCAACAAACAAATGAAGAAATGTTCACAATTATTAGCAATTTTGTTGTTTTGTTGTTAAGTACCATCAAGTCAGTTCCAACTCATAGCAACTCTAATAGGGTTTCCAAGGAGCAGCTGGTGCATTTGAACCGCCACCTTGTGGTTGCTTTTGTTGTTAAGTGTCAACTAACAGTCAGTTGAGACCCTGTATAGGGTTTCCGAGGAACAAATGGTGACTTTGTGATTCAAACCGACTTTGCAGTCCAGCACATTAACTCACAGCACCACATGGTTAGGGAGATGCAAATCAAAACAATGAGATACCATCTCACAACAGCATTAATAGCAAAGTTCTAAAAACAGAAAACAAATGCTGGTGAGGGTGTGGAGAGACTGAGATCCTCCTACCTTGCTGGTGGGACTATAAAAGGGTTCAACCATTCTGGAAAACGGTATGGCACTTCCTCAGAAAGTTGGAAATAGAAACACCTTGTGACCCACAATTGGTATATGTCCACAGAAATAAGAGCTATGACTCAAGACGATATGTGCAAACTGATGTTCATGGCAGCATCACTAATAATAAATAGCAAAAAGATTGAGATAGTCTAAGTGCCCATTACTGGCAGATTGGATAAGCAAACTTTGGTACATACACACAATGGAATACTATGCAATGCTTAAGAATAAAGATGAATCTGTGAAACCCCTCATAACTTGGATGAACCTGGAGGACATTATGCTGAGTGAAATTAGTCAATCACAAAAGGACAAATATTGTACAAGACCATCATTGTAACAACTTAAGTTTTCATACTAAAAGAACATTCTCTGATGGTTATCAGGAGTGGGAAGGAAGGGAGAGTAATTCACTGGCTAGAGGGCAAACACATGTCAGTTCCGGTGATGGGGAGGGCAACATACAAGAAGAGGGAGGGTGGCAGAAGAATGATGAAGACAGGTGAAGACATATGGAGGTATGCATGGGCTAAAAAGGGATAGAGGTAATAGTGATATATACACAACTTTGGAACAACAGTGTTCTGTACATAGATACAAGGATTGATATATAAGCTGAATGGGTAAGGGAGGAAGAAGGTTTTATATATATATATATATACACACATACATACACACGTATGGGATATATATGGAGTCCTGGTGTGGCACTGTGGATTAATGCGCCAGATCACAAAGTCGTTTGAACTGCAAGGTCGGCGGTTCAAGTTCACCAGCTGCTCCTTGGAAACCCTATACAGGTTTGCTATGGGTCGGAATTGACTCGACGGCACTTAACAACAACATGGGATATATATATATATATATTTTGTTGTTGTTGTTGTTGTTGTTAGGTGCCGTTGAGTCAATTCCAACCCATAGCAACCCTGTATAGGGTTGCCAAGGAACAGCTGGTGAGCTTGAACCGCCGACCTTGCAGTTCTAATGACTTTGCAGTCTGATGCATTAGCCCACTGCGCCACACCTGGACTCCATATATGTGTATGTTGTTGTTGTTGTTATGTGCCATAGAGTCGGTTCCGACTCATAGTGACCCTGTACAGAGTTTCCGAGGCTGTAAATCTTTACGGGAGCAAAAAGCCTCATCTTTCTCCTGCGGAACAGCTGGTAGTTTCGAACTGCTGACCTTGTGGTTCACAGGCCAATTCGTTACCACTTCGCTACCAGAGCTCCTTATATATGTGTATAGGTATGTATGTATGTGTGTGTGTGTGTATATATATATATATATATATATATCCCATTCTCCTCCCTTACCCATTGTGACTTCACAGCACTTGACAACAACAACATAACAAAACTGCTAATAATCATGGGAAACCCTATTAGGGTCACTATGAGTCGGAAGTGACTTGATGGCACTTAACAAGAAAACAACAAAATTGCTAATAATTGTAAACATTTCTTCCTATGTTTGTTGACTACCTGAATGTCTTCCTTGGTGAAGTGTCTGTTTATGCCCTGTGCCCATTTTTTAATTGGGTTGTTTGTCTTTTTCTTGTAGAGGTGTAGTAACTTTCTATAAATTTTAGATAGTAGTCCCTTGTCTCATATGTCATTGCAAAAATAATTTCCTAGTCTGTAGGCTCCCCCTTTACTCTTTTGGCAAAATCTTTTGATGCAAATAAGTATCCATTTTTTAGGAGGTCCCAGTCATCTGTTTTGTCTTCTATTGTATGTGTGTTATACATATATGTATATCCCATTCTTCCTCCCTCACCCATATGAGACAGGGTACTTATAAATGAGTATTTAGCTTTCTTGCAAACTATAAATGTGGTGGAGCATGCATCGGGCAAAATGACGAGAATTTCCTAGATATTATCAACATCTTAAGGCACTGAGTTGCTGGGCTTAGGAACTTAGGGCCATAGTCTCAGGGGACACCATGGTCAATGGTATAACATAGTCCACAAAGACAATGTTCTACATCTTATTTTGGTGAGTAGCTTTTTGGGATCTTGAAAGCTCATGAACGACTGTCTTGGGTGCAGATATTGGTCTCTCCATGTGTGGAAGAAAGATAAAAATTGAAGAGGTTTGGAATAAATTAGTCCATGGACTAATGGAACATGTGAACATCAGTCTCCATGATTCTGTCAACAGAAGAACCAGACAGTGGCCACCTACACTACCAAATGCTCTGAAAGGGATCACATTAGAGGGTCCTGGAGAGAGTGGAAGAACATGTGGAATGCAACTCAAAACTATTTAATAATAATAAAAGACCAGATCTATTGGTCAGAAAGAAACTAAAAGAACCTAAGACTACTGCCGTCAACTACCCTTCAGATCTAGCAAGGAAGTCACCCTCATGGCCCAATTTTCAGCCAAGCAGTAGAGAGGTATACAGGGGAAACAACAACACTAGTAAGGTATGCTCACTATGGAATGACCAATCATTCAAAATCAAGAGGGCAACATTTTCTGAAGGACAAGTTGAAAAGGGATGGGAAAGTGGGTAGAATGGAAATAGGAACCACAGGGAGGAAGGAGGATAACTGTTGTTGCAGGGAAGGGACTAGACTTATATAGATGGTTTTTAAATGGAGCGCCATACTCACAGACAATATCCTTTATTTTGTAAGATTTGCTATTTCACCAAATGGTGACCCCCAGGGACAGTTTTTGTCCAAGATTTAAAGAATAACTCAGAATGATAATGCCAGGGAGTCCTCCAGTCTCAACTAAGTCAGTAAGCCTGGACTTTTAAAAAATGTGATTTTTGTTTCGCATTTCTCTTCCATTCCATCAGGGTCCATCTATTGTGGCCCAGATTAGAATGGTCAATAGTGGTAACTGAGCACCATCGAGTTCTGACCTCAAGGTAGATGAGGCCATGGCTCCTACAGGCCATCAGCTCTGTAAACTCATTTCTTCTCCAAAACTTTGGTTTCTTTCTCTTTTGCTCTCGTTAAGTAGAGACCAATGGCTGATTCTTAGATGGCTGTTCTCAATCATTTAAGACCCTAGGTGTACTCACCTCACTAGACAGTAGAACATGAACTTTGTCAAGTATATTATATCAAGGGATTGAGTTGTTCTATGAGTCTTAAGCCCTAAGCCTACAAACCCAGACACAATCTCAAGGTGTTTGGTTATATCTGAAAAGTATGTGAAACTATATCCAATATGGAAATATGGATATATGCACACACACACACACACACACACACACACATATAGCTATTCCTATTTGAGCATGCATGAGAGGACTTCAAAAAATTTGTGGAAAAGAGAATGAAAAAATAATGGAATTTTCCCACAAACTTTTTGAGTACCCTTGTATGTACTGCTGCTGCTGCTGCTATGTGCCATGGAGTTGCTTCCGACTCATAGTGACCCTGTACAGGGTTTCCGAGGCTGTAAATCTTTACAGGAGCAGAAAGCCTCATCTTTCTCCCGCGGAACAGCTGGCAGTTTCGAACTGCTGACCTTGAGGTTAGCAGCCCAATTCATAACCACTACGCTACCAGAGCTCCTTTGTATGTACTATACACCTACATATGTGACTTGCTTTCTAGTTATTGTTGTTGCCAAATTACCTATCTTTATAATATATAAATATATAATATATATTATATAATATATTATATAATATATAATAACTCGCAAACACATGTAACACACTGAACTATGACACCAGTACCAGGGGGTTGAGCAGTTTGCACTGTGAAAAAATACAGTATGTATGCCATATTTCTTTAGCATAGACATCCTTTCCCCTTGGCATGTTCACTTTGGTAAAAATGTACTCAATACACCCAATCTGGTGATTTTTCCAACACCAAAAATAGGTTGTTAGGTTCCATCGAGTCGATACCGACTCAAAGCGACCCTATGCACAACAGAAAGAAACACTGCCCGGTCCTGGGCCAACCTCACAATTGTTGCCACACTTGAGCCCATTGATGCTGCCCACTTTGCCAAGTCCTGGTGTGGCGCTGTGGGTTAATGCGCCAGATTGCAAAGTCGTTTGAACTGCAAGATCGGTGGTTCAAGCTCACCAGCTGCTCTTTGGAAACCCTATGTTGTTGTTGTTGTTGTTGTTAAGTGCCGTCGAGACAGGGTCGCTATAAGTCGGAATTGACTCGAGCGAGGGCACTTAACAACAACAAACATCATAAGAGTGACTCTCCCTCAATGAAGTATTTATCAAGTATATACTACATGCAAGACACCCTCTAAGCACAATTTGAATTTTAAAAAGAAATGAGGAAGTTCCTATCCACAAGAGGCTTATTGTACAACGGAGGATTCTAGACACACATAGTGGAAGGCTCAAATGAACTAGAGTTCAAGCAAGGGGTTTCCTTTTATTTGTAAAAGGGGATTTTGGAAAGCTCCATACAGGAAGTGGTTCATGAGTATTTTAATTATAGGTAGAGTTCGAATATGTGTAATTAAGGGCAAGGAAAGGAAGTCATTCCCGGCAAAAGAAATAATACAGGAGATGCAGAGGCGGGAAAGCAAGGACTGGTTCTGGGAGAAAAGCCAGAGTTCGTTTGCTTGGAACAAGAGCTACCTAAAGCTGTAGGAATAAGGTCAGATTGAGCATATCACAGGCGCTTTGTCCTGGGTAGAGGTCTAGGATCCGGAACATCGTTGACCCCCAACTAGGACCATGGTCTATGCTCTCAGGGGCCAACACTCCCCCTGTGGCCCGTGCCCCTTCGCCCCGGCCCACAAGAGCTTCCCGGGCTCATGCCGCTTCCATGAAGCGTTCTGTCCCCGCTCGTCCTGGAGACAGAGACCACCGCCATACCCCCACTCTCCCCCTCTCGCCCAGCTCCTGGGAACCGACTCCATCGCCCGGGACTCACCACCCTGAGTCTGAACCGCCCAACGCGGCCTCAACGTCGCTGAGCAGACGCCATCTTTCCCGTTTCCTGGTCGCGAAGATACGCCCTCAGCCGCGCTGCAAATTGGGGAGGCGAGTTTTAGCTACTAGGCGCCGCAGACCGACAATGACGAGATGGGAACTACCAGTCCCAGAATGCACTGTGCGAGCGCCGTCCTGGGGCGCGGGGTCTGTTGGATAATGTGGTTTGCTATAAAACCTTTGAATCCTCTGGAAGCGGTAACAGGACGCGATGGGGAGAAGATTTCCGTGGGCTCACTGATACAAGGTCCTGTCGCCACGTAATCTTCCTGGAATATGATGGTCTCATTAGAAATTACAGTTATAACGACTATCATTGCCTGTAGCTTACAGCGGAAGAATTTCATAGTATCTTAGACTGGTGTGGCGCTGTAGGGTAAGCAGTGGACTGCCCACTGCAAGGTCAGAGGTTCAAACTCACCAGCCGCACCTCCTAAACCCTATATATGGTCGCTTTGAGTCGGAACCGACTAGACGGCACCTAACAACAACAATGTGATGGCTTGGGGTGGCGCTGTGGATTAATGCACTGGACTGCAAGGTCTGTTTGTACAGCAATGCCTGTAGTTCAAGCTCATCGGCTGCTTCTAGGAAACCCTAAAAAGGGCCGCTATGGATGGGAACCGACTCGACGGCACTAAACAACAACAAACTGTGTGGTTGCACTGGCAGGGCCTGACAATATGATTTCGCGGGCCTTATATGGCCCTTCCCCACCCCTGCTATACAGGTCGCTGAGTTGGAACAGACTTGTTGTTGTTGTTAGGTTCCATCGAGTCGGTACCGACTCATAGTGACCCTATGCACAACAGAACGAAACACTGCCCGGTCCCGGGCCTACCTCATAATTGTTGCCACACTTGAGCCCATTGATGCTACCACTTTGCCAATCCATCTCCCAGGGGGTCTTCCTCTTTTTCTCTGACCCTCCACCCTACCAAATATAATATCCTCTCCAGTGACTGGTCCCTCCTGACAATATGTCCAAAGTATAAGAGATGACATTTGGCCATCCTGGCCTCCAAGGAGCACTTTGGCTGCACTTCTTCCAACACAGATCTGTTGGTTTTTCGGAAGCCCATGGTACTTACAGTATTCTCCTCCAACACCACAACTCAAATGCATCAATTCTTCTACGGTCTTCCTTGTTCACTGTCCAGCTTTGGCATCCATATGAGGTTATTGAAAATACCGTGGCTTGGGTCAGGCGCACCTTAGTCCTCAAGCTGACATCTTTGCTCTTCAACACTTTAAAAAGATCCTATGCAGCAGATTTGCCTAATGCAGTACATCCTCTGATTTCTTGACTGCTGCTTCCATGAGTGTTGATAGTTGATCCAAGAAGAATGAAGTCTTTGACAACTTCAATCTGTTCTCCGTTGATAAGAATGTTGTTTATTTGTGAGTATTTTTGTTTTCTTTACGTTGAGATGCAATCCATACCGAAGGCTGTACTCTTTGATCTTCATCAGTAAATGTTTTAAGTCCTCTTCACTTTCAGCAAGCAAGGTTGTATCATCTGCATATTGCAGGTTGTTAAATGAGTCTTCCTCCAATCCTGATGTCACATTTTACTTCATATAATCCAGCTTCTCGGATTATTTGTTCATCACACAGGTTGAATAAGTATGGTGAAAAAATACAACCCTGTCACACACCTTTCTTAATTTTAAACCATTCAGTGTTCCCATGTTCTGTTCAAACAACTGCCTCTTGGTCCATGTACAGATTCCTCACATATACAATCAAGTGTTCCGGAATACTCTTGCTTCGTAATGTTGTCCATAGCTTGTCATGATCCACACAATCAAAAGCCTTTGCATAGTCAATAAAGCACAGGTAAACAGCTTTCTGATATTCTCTGCTTTCAGCCAAGATCCATTGGACATCAGCAATTAGATCTCTCGTTCCACGGCCTCTTCTGAATCCGGTTTGAACCTCTGGAAGTTCTCTGTCAATGTATGCTTGCAGCCATTTCTGTATTACCTTTAGTAAAACTTTACTTGCATTGGGATATCAAAGAGATTGTCAGACTAGATGGCACTTAACAACATGAGTTGGAAAATAGTCACTCACAGCACTTAACAACAGATATAGCAAGTAATTAGAACTGTTTGTGGAAAAACGTGTTTACTACAATTATGTGAGGTAGGAGATTGTTAAGTGCCATGGAATTGGTTTCAACTCAGCTACCCTATCTAAAAGACTATGAGCCCCGTTTTACAGATGATGAACAAAAGATTAGTTTTGTTAATAGGTGTAACCTAGTATTTCACAAGAAGGAGACATTTTTTCCTTTGCAGAACTATACCAGGCTTTGGGGGATTTTTTAACAACCTTAATCTCCCAGGGAATAAGTACTGGTATTGTAACAAAAAATCCAGTTCTCAACTATAGTAACAACTCAAAATGAGCCCAAACATTGCCAAAATCCTCCTGGGAGGGAAGTACTGCCTGGACTGTGACCCTGTTTTTCTCCACCTTCTAGATAGGGGCCTTACTTCCTCATTTCCTTGTCCTTTGGAATTTGGAGATTTACACTTCTTGCTTTCTCCTATTATCCCTCTTCACTCTTCTACTGAATCAGTTTCCCAATTGCATGCTCTTTTTGTTTTTCTTTGGTCTTATAAATTCATTCGATTGTGTGGATCATGACAAGCTATGGACAACATTGAGAAGTATGAGTATTCCAGAACACTTAATTGTACTTCTGAGAAATCTGTACCTGGACCAAGAAGCAGTTGTTCGAACAGAACATGGGAACACTGAAAGTTTTAAAATTGGGAAAGGTGTGCGACAAGGTTGTGTTCTTTCACCATACTTATTCAACCTGTATGCTGAGCAAATAATACAAGAAGCTGGGTTCTATGAAGAAAAACGTGGCGTCAGGATTGGAGGAAGACTCATTAATAACCTATGATATGCAGATGATACAACTCTTGCAATTTCTAGGATGGTTTTCATACTGGGAAGTATTTAGTGCCTCCTTCTCAATCCCACAGAGCTGTAATCTGACTTTTCAGATTTCAGTTCTCCCTGCCAAAGCCTCAGGATAGAAGCAAATGCTGAAACCCTGAACATCACACACAATGAACTAAAGTAACACAGGGATTTGCACATTTTGGCTTTTCAGGCTTTGACCTGAAAACACTATTGATTTCGACCCATGGCGACCCTTTGCGAGGCAGTAAGAAAGCCTCCTCTTTCTCCCACCAAGCAGCTGGTAGATTCAAACTGCTGAGAGACTGAAAGGAAAAAGGAGCTACTAGGTGAAATTCTCCCAGTGAACACTAGAGGGCTCTCCACTCACAAAATGAAAACTGAACTAAGACACCATAGAGGTAACCTGCAGCTACTGTTTGTTTGTATGTGTGTCCTCCACTCGGTTCCGACTCAGAGCGACCCTGCAAGGTCGGTTTGAGAGGTTCAAGTTCGTCAGCCGCTCCTCAGAAACCCTATACAGGGTCGCTATGAGTCGGAATCGATTTGTCGGCACTTAACAACATAGGATTTCCAAGAAGGGCTGATGGGTTTGAGCTGCCAATCTTACGGGGTACCAGTCCATTGTTTATCCTAAAGTGCCATACCAGAACTATTTATTGAGAATCTTGGGTTGTACTCTGTGCGTGCGCTTGTTGTTAAGTGCAGTCAAGTCGGTTCGGACTCATAGCGACCTTGTATAGGGTTTCCAACGAGCAGCTGGTAGGTTTGAACCACCACCTTGAGCTTCAAACCGGCCCAGTGCTTATCCTACAGCGCCACCCCAGGCCTCTTATTGCACGCTTAACCGATTGTTGTTATGTGCCGTAGAGTCGGTTCCGACTCATAGCAACCCTATAAAATCTTCACGGGAGCCGGAAATCTGCGGAACAGCTTGTAGTTTCGAATTACTGACCTTGTGGTTCGCAGCCCAATTCCGAACTATTACGCTATCAGAGCTCCTTACGCTTAACCGATGTATTTAGTTTATTGAGTTCTCATAGCAGATCGAAACTACCAGCTATTCCGTGGGAGAAAGATGAAGCTTTCTGCTCCGGTAAAGATTTACAGCCTTGGAAATCCTGTGCAGGGTCACTATGAGTGGGAACCGATTCCAAGGTACTCAACAACAATAGCGAAAGGAGATGGGTATTAAACTCACTTTACTAATAAGGAGATTGTGATTAAAAAAGGTTAATGAAGTCTTCAGAGGCCAGAATTCAACTCCAGGTTTGACTTCAAAGTCCATTTTCTTTCCCTAGTTCCAGGCTACTATCTGTCATCTTTTAAAGATGAGGAAAGAAGAACCAGAAAGATGACAAAGGTCCAAGTTCATAGTGGCAGATCCCCTAGAACTTGTACACTCCTCTCTCACCATAAACCTAAGACCTTGAGCTTAAAAGACACTCATTGTTGTCTGTCTTATTCTGCTGGTTCTCTCACAAACCATGCATATTTTGCAACAGAGACAGAGGGACTGTGTCCTAGAAAGAACCATAGGTGGTGTCTGGTCTCCTACTTACGTACAACATGGCCAACAGTAAGGGGCCATTTGGGTTATAGGTAACACTGAGACCTGACTCAGTTACTTACTAACAGTATGATCTTGTGCAAGTTATAAAGCATCTTTAGTTTCTCTTTTTCTTTATAAACTAAGGATAATAGTTTATTATCTTGCCTCACAGGATGAGCTAGCAGAACAGTTCAGAGGGGTGGGAGCCAGACTGACTAGATTGTATCCAGGGTCTCCCACTTTCCAGCTGTGTAACCTTTAGCCTGGAATCTAATCTCTTCAAGCCAGTTCCTTGTGGATATAATGAGATATCATAGCAGGTTACACACTGGGCTGCTGACCACATTGGGCTGCTAACAGCAGTTCAAGTCCACCAACCAGCTCCACAGGAGAAAGATGAGACTTTCTGCTTCTGTAAAGATTTACAGCCTCAGAAACCCTAAACAGGTTCTCTATGAGTGGAAATCAACTTGATGGCATGCAGCAGCAGTAGCTCATAGGGTTATCACAAGGATTAATAACATATAAAGCACCC